CGGGAAAATTGTGGACCCCAGAATAAATTGGCCGTCGTCAGCAGGAAGGTGTCCCGCCGCGCAACCGTGGCATGGCGCAAACGCCATATCTTCAAGAAATCTACGACCCAAGGAAATTGTGGCCCATGGCACGAATTGGCTGCCGACAGCAATGTGACTAGTCGTGCAGGTGCGACACGGCGCAAGGGAGATCCCGTAAGGAGATGCTCAACGAGGGTCAATGCTGGGCAAGAAGCCGGGAAAGGAAGGACTGGAACCGTGACAGGACAGACGTCCGGGAGGTGGCGTCAGCCACAACGGAAATGCAGTAATCGTAAATCTGTAATTTGGGTGATTGTAAGTGCGAATGTGAAATAAAATTCGCTATATCAAATACGGCGTGAAGTTATTTGTCACGATATACGCCCAATACGCGACACTATATTATATTTAAGCATCCTGTTGCACTCTACACTTCCATATGTATAATATAAATACCGTCATAAATGCAACAATTTATTTGTAGTTCTTTGTCTCTCTTCTTTTACACTACATGTTTTGGCCATGACTGGCCATCATCAGATGTATTTTCACTTATGTAGCTGTCACACTGCATGTAATTTAAAATTTAAAAACACCAGCTCTCTCAATTGTCATTGCCACGTTTCAGTCGGTCCCGATATACCAGAATCTCTTCGCTGCTTTTGTCAGTTATGTTTAAAATCTCTGTTCATATACACTTGTCAATTTGATTTAGAATTTTAATTTAAAATTTAAATCACAGGGATACCTGCTGTATGTCTAATACGTGAACGGTGCTAAAAGCAAGAAGTAGCCGCTGCAGCTCATGTACACATAGAGCAGGTATCCCTGTGATTTAAATTTTAAATTAAAATTCTAAATCAAATCGATGAGTGTATATTAACAGAGATTTTAAACATAACTGACAAAAGCAGCAAAGAGATTCTGGTATATCAGGACCGATTGAAACGCAGCAATGACAATTGAGAGAGATGGTATTTTTAAATTTTAAATTATGTGCAGTGTGACAGCTACGTAAGTGAAAATACACCTGATGATGGCCAGTTACGGCTGAAACATGGAGTGTAAAAGAAGAAAGACAAAGAACTACAAATAAATTGTTGCATTTTCAACGGTATTTATATTATACGTATAATATATGAAAGAATACATTAAAATATTTGTAAATTATTACAATTAGTCTGTTTACAAGTTTAAAAAATGTTTTGTTAAATTTTTTAGAACCAGTTTGGTTCATGTCCTTTATATTGGCTCTCTTTAAAGGAATTTGACGGTCTACTGCCTCGTGTTCTCCTGTTGTTAGGGCTGAGCTATGTTGTTATACAGTATAACAACACGGTGTGTTGTCGCACTGGACAGAGTTGATTAACCTTTTATAAATGCATTATATTTATTTTCAAGGTTTTGTGTGTCAAAAAATACCAAAACTACGAAGCCTATATATACCACTTAACAACCAGTAACCTAAACCTCCATTTCAAACATTTTAAAAATTAGTATTCCATTTGTATATAGTTTTATTTAAATACTAGATTTTAACTTTTGACCTTTAGCATATATTATTTGAGACATATTCCACACAAAAAACTTAAAATTAAAATTTAGATTATACTCTCATTGGTAAATGTAAAAAGTATCCATTTTGATAATTCAACAATACCATATGTATTCATAAAACCAACTGATCATGATCTTTGTAGATCGAAACATGTAGTGGGATGAAAATAAAATAACCAGAATATTATATTAAACACTTTAATATGGGTTTACAGTCAACTGTTGTGTTGACAGCCCCCAAGTATACCTTTAATGCATGATACACAACAGGATGTAGAAAATAAAGATAAAAGAGGAGACAAAAGGTTCTGAACTAAATGGTGGCAAGCATTATCCAAATTTAAGGTGTCCCTGTGCTTAATTAATTAAGCAATTTAATCTGCAATCTCCTTGTTTTAGACCTTTCTGAATGGCAAACATAACAGGCAGATATTCACTTGCATTACACCTCTTCCTGAGGGTAAAGGGCGGCCAGCACATAAGGCTAATAACCTCATTCTCATCTATGAGCCAATTGTCTAGAAAATGTGGGAGCTTCGATGTCTCACAACCCTATGGGCCTCCACAGCTTGTTACAGACATAGCTTTACCTTTTTAGAATAGCAGGTATAATTTTAGTTTTTTATATTTTACTGTCTAGGTTTCTAGTTAGATAACAAGAAGACAATGACTCAAAATGGAATGGTAGCAGTCAAAGACTACTCTTAAATTAATGTGTGTATGAAGGTCTTGAAATTTTGCTGCCAAAGAACTTGTACATTCTGTTAAATGACAGTTTGAATGAGAATTCTGTGAAATCAGCCTTATGGTACTTCTAAAGAGAGAAAAAAAAATGAATCTATATCATTTTGCCACATTACAGTATTTTTCATTGGGAAAGATGGTATCATTTAAGATGTAAGTAACTGATTTTTTTTTCACCTATTATCATATAAATAATGAAAGTAAATGTTTCTCTCATTTGTAATCTCGCTAATCTGAATTATAGATGGCACTTGCAGTTCGCTGAGTATTGAACTCTTCATTCAGAGACGAACACTCATTAAGGTGTTTGTAATTGATCCTGAAGATATTATTATTCAGGTATATACTTTGAGGAAACCTTAAAATCTGTCAGCATCTTCATGTTAGCAAAAGTCATATTTTGTCTTAAGCACTGCAGTACCATCCTGGCATTGGAGTTTTCCTACTAATTTTGCACTGTTCACTAAACCATTGTGAATATCCGTATTCATTCGCGGCTTATATGGAAGGCAGCAGTTGTAACATCATTTCAAATATACACATAACCTTAACATTCCATAATGTACCTAAATTATTAGTTATTTAGCTTGATTTATAAATTAACTGGCACATTTAGAAGCAAGTAATATTACACCTCTTTGTATGCAAAACTTAAAGGAATAAGTGGATTTATGTCAGAGCCTAATGTCATACTAGTTTAAGCAGAACAGCATACGTTCAAAATATATACAGATTAAATTAATGGAGCAAGGGGAAATATGGTGACCTTTAACTGTTGTTTCTTCTGTAGAATCATTAAATTCATACATCATTGGCCCAAAAAGTGCTGTTGAAAATTCTCAAAAACAATTAATTGAAATCTTATTTTCTAATACGTTATTTATTACCATTAATAAATAATGGTAACTATTTGCAGTAGATTCATAGCAAAGAAGTACACAGCTATTATAAAGGCTGAGGTTTTTACTGGTACTTGACTCGGTGTAAAAAGATTTTCCCATGTAGGGAATTGAATGCCCATCCACTAGCCCACTAAACATACTCTCAAAAATGAATTCTTCAGTTATGGGTCATTAAAGCAGCTCCTCCTATGATTTTACAAATCTAGGCATCTCTTCCCAAAAATGTATTAGGACTGTATGCATGAAAAGTTTGCTTGCTTGCATTTAGTACCCAACAAATAAATGTATGAGTCTTTGCTTATTTGAAGATGATTAATAGGTTGTACAGGTCATATAGTATTGGACAGGGAAATTATGAAAGTGTTGTGCATGAAGAGCTGCAAAGGATGTGGAAGGAAGTGGTCATGACCTATTTTAAGATTACCGTTTGGCACTTGCCTGGGAAGACCAAGGAGTGTAATGAAAACTCCAAGTCAGGATAGTTGAAGTCAAGTATAAGTCCCAGGATTGCCTAAATATGAATGAAAGTGCTAACCACTACACTGCGATACTCAATAATAAGTTAGAGAAAACTTATTTTCTTGTTAAGTTTTAAAGATATATGCTATAATATAGAGGATGCAACTGATATGTATTAAGATATACAGATTAAATACAGCCACAGTTTATTTATGAAGTATTAATTTTGTAGCTTACATATTCAAGTATTAATTGTACTCGTAAGTTGCTTTATGACTGTGATCCATTTCATGTATACATGTACATCTTCCTTGCAAACAAAAATTAAGCAAATTCATCTTCTGTTTGTAATTTGTTTTAGCTAATTAATATTACTACCAGGCTTATAGAGACAAACTACTCTTTTATACTTTCAGTGAATTTAAACACTATAAATATATTTTTCAATATTCAAGTGAAACTGTAAAATGCAATTATCTACTTCATAAAGATATCCAGAAAGTGTAGTTAAAACTCTATTGAGATGCCTCTTAAGAGGAGGAGATTTATATTTATAAATAGAACACTGTGTATCCATTCAAAAACATTTCTCTGGATATAGTCCAGCATTCAACAGTTTTCTGTATCCAAACCCACAGGCTTCAATACCATGCCAGTGGCTGGCCACTGGAATCTTGTAAGTAAAGGATCCATGTCTCATGTCTCCACCTACAAGGAAGACACAATGGTGTACAAATCTGAATATTTATTGGAAATGCATATGAAATGATATTTCACAAATTTGATTATAAAGAAGTGGCCTTTGTATTTCCAGTAAAGTACTTTGTAATCACCTTCCAAAATCTATAGTAATATGAAAATAAATGCGAGGATTTGTCGTGTTCTAATTGGGTTGTGACAACGGAATATTTAGAACTAAGTCTATTTGAGCTTTTAGTAACACTAACTCCCAATGTGTATATAGCAAGAAAGCAGTGTGCTTGAATGTGCGACTGATTGTGAGATCTCAGGAAAATATTTTCCATCATTACTTAATTTCAGATGTCATTATATTTTTAATGTTGACTGGAAAATGTAAGCAATATGGAAAAAACATGTGTTTTATTTCACTATGTCCTAAACAACTCCACTATCAATTAAACCCTGATGGCATTTTTCATGGCTCTGTATATGTTGTAGTATTGGGTGGCCTTGATAGGAAAAATTATTATAAATATTTGTTGAAAATTAGGCGAGTTCCACTGGATCTAGTTATGGTCCAGAAGTAGAGTGTTGTGGACTTGGTAATGAGCCTTTGGGTTCCTTACAAGACACAGAACTTAATAACTAGCTCAGTGACTGTCAGTTTCTCAAGAATAACTCTGTTCATGGAATTGGTGAGTTAGTTGGGTGGTTCACAGCTTTCATTTTCCTGAGGACCTGGATTACATAGTTCCCTCAGCAACACCTTGAATTCCTTTAGTGTCAGACTTTTAACTAAAAACAATATTAGCTGCAGATAATATGTCATATTACATCATGGTCTGGTAAAACTCAGAAAATTCAGACCCTCAACTAAAATTTTCCTGAGAAATTTGTAAAATTTGCAGTTACTCATTTCCAGTGATGGAACACCTCAGCCCAACTTGCAGAAGACTAATGTTCTACCAGAGCACTGTTTTGGAACCACTGAGTTACAGAGCTACAACAAATTATTTCAGACATGCACACAGCATCTGGCTATGGGCTGGATGACCCAGGGGTTGGAGTTCAAGTCCCGGTAGGGTCAAGAATTTTCTCTTCTCCATGTCAAATCCCACTCAGTGTGTGGCTGACTGTCCACATTTCATTTGTGATTATGTCGTCCTATATAGGTAGAGGCCCTCTGGCAGGTCTGATCACTCATCCAAAGTAATCCTGTTAATTATCTGTAAGATTCATAGTTGCAGAAGGGAACCACCGCAGCGGCCCGAGTTCGATCCCGGGTCTGGTCAAGTGGGATTTGTGGTGGACAAAGTGGCGCTGGGGCAGGTTTTCTCTGAATGCTTCGGTTTCCCCTGCCAATCTTCATTCCACCAGTTGTTCCACAATCACCCTCACCCATCATCTGGGGCTGGTACAATAGGCCAGAAGTGGCCACAGTACATGGGACTTAGTCAGACCCCACTGGCAATAAAAAAAAAAATCTGAAGGGAAACAGGCCAGAGGGCGTAATATGATATGTAGAAGAAGAAGAAAGACAGGATTGTTAGGAACTTACAGTAGTAAAATTGGTTGAAACAAGTCAGGACAATCAACCAGCGCTACAAATTGGATATCATACTTTAAGACAGAAGAGTAGAATGTTTAATGATTAATATTGTCACATGTTTGGAACAGGCACTTGCACGGTAACGGAATAACAGCGAGCCGTTGCGTAGACAATGCCGAAACAAGGAGCGCGTTACCCGGAGATGGATAACAGAAGGCCGTTAAGTAGCAACGGATGAGGCGAAACTCGTTACCGGTGTATAAGGAGCGTTCCTGAAGCAACGGATTGCCGAACACTTGAGATCGAACCTTGGCGAGGGGTGTCCTTTACTGAGTCCGCAGAACACCTACATAAGCCGAGAGCTACAGACAGCCCCGTGTGGAGGCGGGGTCGAATACCTCCACCGTGACCCTGCGAGTCGTAGGAGGCGACGAAAAGGAAAGTCTCAAATCTGAGACAGTAAAATATGGTCGCGAGTCCCAAGGACTCGGATCCGAGGACTGCGCTGGCGAGCACCAGAAGCATATACAAAAGAAAGATCCGTCCTCTCGTCAGAGAGGGCGCCCCACAAAAATAAGGCCGTAACTGTCAAACGGTAATAATTAATATCTGGTCATGAGCCACAGATGGGGCTCGACACCAAGACTTACTGACTGACCGGACGTCAGTCGCAATGTGACTTTGACAGCAAGAATACAGTCTTCGGGATAGCCGTCGCCGAATACTGTTGGAACGTAGTCGCCATACGATACAGACAGAAGACAGGTGAGATCCAGCCACGGCCAAGGAGAGACGTCTCATTGAAGTATTAGGCCAGAAGTCAAGTGGGTCAAGTGACACTGCAAGTGATGATAATTGTGCCTCTGATAGATGTCAGCACAAAATGAACATGATAGATATACGAGTAATCTCTGATCGATAACAGATGGTCACAACACTCTTAGGGGAAGGGGGGAAACAAAGGATCTCCTGCCATCTCTACGTAGACGGACCGAACTAGATAGTAAGAACCAATCATAATTCAACTACTGCAATTTATCGAATCGCATTTGTGTGGCCCAATCCCAGTACACCTTTTGCAATAGATAGGCAGTTGGTGGCGTCTGGCCGTTGATCCTGTTGGTATTAGTACGTACTTGTTTAAAAGTGAAGTTTGTTAGTTGCGGATGATTGGTAACTATGAAATTTGATTTGATGTAGTGAATCAAGAGCTGACGTTTACTGTTTAAGTTACATCGCCATGTTATTTCTACTTATGAAATTAAGTTAGAAACATCTTTTGAAGTAGAATAGAGAAGGTCTGTGGAATCTCGAAACTCACCGTGTGCTATGATTGTGTTATAATATCTGTATTGTTTCTTGCAGGATAAATGGGAAAAAAAATAAATTTTGCGCCGCCCCAGGGTGCTCGTCATGCAGTAGGCAGACAGGTTTGAAACTCTTCTACTTCCCCAGGGATTCAGCGCGGCAAGTCTGTTTTAATGCATGATGTAATGGCTTTATTAAGTGCTGCTTAATCCAACGAAGAAATTAAGTTTAGCTAATGTCTGTATTAAATGTATTAAACATTACCCCTCAATGTAGCACCAACATCATGTTTGTAATACTTAGAGATGAAATATTTCAAGGTTTTGATACAATATGTAATACTCTTACAGGGCTATGGTATGTGCAAGAAGAGTTGGGATAACCTGTACTATAAATTTTTGTGCAGTAGAAGTGATTTCACTACAGCTGAACAGATTCACAGTTCCATAGCTCAGATTCTGCAGGACAATCACTCCCACAACCTCCTGATCCTTCGTTACACACCATTTCAGGTAAGCACTATATGCTTCTTTTATGAATGAAGTGGCTAATAATGAGGACTAGTTTTCAAAGTTGTTGCCCCCAGAACCCAGTTGTAGTCAAACAAATGTCATTGTCATCATTTATTACTACTGAAACTGTATATCAGTATACAGGTCATGGATAATTAAAAAATGTTTGAAAAGCAGAACATGCTTTCATTAATATGATTTATGAGAGAATGAGGTGGTAAAGACTTTACTATGAGGAGTAAAGTAACCAGTGAACAAATTTTTTATAGAGGCAGTGTGTTGTAAAGTAATATGTGTTATTTCCCAGTGCGAAGAATTATGGTAATCCACCATGTAAGGAAGCACACTAATTTCAGATTTTTCTTTTATTCATTCAGGAGGGTGCTGCAGTGAATACCTGGCAATAGCTGGGTTTATTGAGGAGGTTGACAAACTCTTTGAGAGTTTAAATGGTGGAATGCCTGTTGTCTCTGGAAAGCACTAAGCGATAACAGGATTCAGTGTGGGTAGGATGTTTTGTGTAATTTATTTCACTATTTTAATATTTTTGTGGGTGTATTCCTTGTCATAAAATATTTACCTGTTTTATTATTTTAGTTATCATTGTTTTATTATTATGGGTGTATTCCTTCTTATTTTTCTCCATATTACTCTGTCCAGTACTGAACTGGTAATCATGAATATATAACGTGTCACACATGAACTTAATTATGTGGTGTGTTGTGGGTAAATTGACAGTCAGTGGGGCTGCTTCAGTTAGCACATTGCAGTGAAACCCCCATTTAATATTCCATTTCAGTGACTCCCAAGTCACTATTCTTAGTACTAAATTCCCCCTATTTAAGATTTTTGTCACTTTACTGTCCAAACGCACTTCTCCCTAAGGAAAACTTAAATATGGGTTTCACAGTAATCACACGCGCATTTATTTGAACTTTATCATGTTAGTGGTTTGCAACCATGATGTGTTGAGAGTTTGTAATATAAAGAATAATTTTAGCAAAAATAACCTGTCACTGCACATCAGAGGGATGTGCTTTCACATGACCTGTCTTGCACTTGGAGGGCTGCGTATTTGGAAATTGCATGAGACCATTTTCTAATTATTGAAGTGGCTGATATTATTAACTACATGAATGAAAGGGTTGCCCAAGAAGGATAATTGCAGTGAAACAAAAGATGCTAGCTCACAACTTGTCTGGCAGTGATAATGATCTTGCTGTGGGATGTTTATGGGTGACCATTTCTAAAACGAGAGACATCAGCAGGGAAGAACAGAGTTGTAACTCGTAAAACAGATGTTTGAAACTGGGGTGAACAAAGTCTTTTCTGTTTTAGCAGCATGTCAGAAATGTTAACATTTAAACATTTATTCTTGCTGAGGCAACTTCCACACTTGCTAAAAATGAGATGAATTCTGTCATGAAGAAGTTAACAGTCTAGAGCCAGCATAGGTTAGTACACAGTCAGGGTTCAATTCCCAGTTAAGTGGATAGTGCAGGCCCTTTGCCTGCAGTATGGAGTTGACCCCTCAACTCTGTGTTGTGCTTTGGTGCCTAATTGAGCAAAGACACAACTTTACCGGGACAGGGTGTCCATTGGAAATTCTGCAGCCCTTGTTGAGAGGTCAGTTGGTTATGGTGAAGCAGTGAAGCTACTCGGAATATTGAATTGAAGATGGATCATTGGCTTCTATTACATAATTTTTATGACCAAGTTTTCTGAATATGAGGTTACACAATGAAAGTGTGAGGGCTTCAATCACATCATCAATGCAACAGAGGCATTATGTGGAAAGGGGGCCTGTCTGCTGTTTATTGGGAACATGGCACTCTTAGTGGTCAAGTGCAGTGCATTTATTTGTGACTGAAAACTCTTTTCTTATAGGACCAGGTTTCAGAGCAACTTACTGGCCTCCCACTTTCAGTAACTTGTGCTCAGTACAAGGTCTTTGTATGGAGTACCTGTAACTTGGGGGTGGGGGGACAGTTTCTGTGCAAAATACAGTAACTCTGATTTTGTCTTATTCACAGGTTGTGGAGAACACAAGGCCACTTATAGAGGGCCTCATTCTGGAGAGGTCTTGTGGGGTCCTGCTGAATTTTATTTTCCACAAGATAGTGCACAAAAGGAACTTCATATCTTCCCAGTGCCATGCATCAGTTATACACCCCTCTTCTTTAGCTTCATTTTCACATTCATCGTTCTGTAAACTGTATACACAACTGATGCATCATGCGAGAACATGTGCTGCTAGTAGCAGTGAAGTGAAGAAAGGTAGAAAGTATGTAGGTGGGAAGAGAGGATTTGTGGAGTGAGATGGCAGTGCTTGAAGGAGAAGAATGCAGTTATGTTGCTCTAGAAGTTGCTGGTGAAAGTTGAAGTTTCTTCTGTGCACTCTCTTGTATAAAATAAACTTGCGCTTGCCCTCTCCAGGGCATCAACTCCTATGCCTCTTACTGTCCCCCCTGCAAAGCAAAACAAAAAGTTACTGTTTTCATCACCCTCTACCAAATAAAGAAAGTCATTTTTAATCAGACACTTTTATTTGTAATAATTCAGAATCTTATTATACCATTAGGTCTTTTCAGTAGAATGTGCAGAGAGGGAGTTTTGCATATTATTCAGCTCTGTTGTGTCTGGGCTAAAGTGGTTATCTATTTATTTTGTCTGTTAAAGAAAGGTAAAATATTGTGACGTTGCGCTAGGGAGGACACCCCCCCCCCTACCCCGAGGTGACGCAGCAGCGCCCCCTGCTTTGACGTGTCACTCAACGACACTGTTGACATGGGCAACAAGCAACAGTGAACAGTATAAAAAGCTGGCTGAGCAGTATGCGAGTAATTGGCAGTCAGCAGTTAGGATTGTGTGATCAGGAGTGACAGTTGGATTGGAACAGTCGCTGAGTTCAGTTGTAGCGGAAAGAAGAATACCAGAACATGTGATTAGAAGTGAGACTTTGCTAAGAGTAAGCTGTGTACATTGACAGGTACAGTTCCAAGAATTGTGATAGAACTGTTAAGAGATCCATCCCAATTTAGCCTACTCTCCTTATATTGAAAAAATAAAAATTAGTTTTATGTCTCTCTCTGTATCCCCCCGCCATTGACTTCAGAATCCCTGAACATATGTTTATGAAACTTGGTGTATATATTATGGCAACTGAGCCCATCTCAGTGGCTTACTTCCTAAATCCCAACCATCAATATGTGTCTGTACGTGTATCCCTCTACTTTTGTTAGGCAGGGGCTTAGTAAAAATGTTACCATGGCACCGAATACACACAACAATAGAAGAATTGTAGAACATCATTTTGTGTGTGGTCCACATATCAAAGGAAAGTAGGCGAGTACTTCTTCACAGAACTTCTTATTTGTTTTTAACAGGAGTAGTGGACTTTTGAATGTTGAAAATGTTTTCTTCACTTTCTTTGAATAGCTCAGTCAGTGTAGTGATAGGATATGGGTTGGATGGCCAGGGTTCCATTCCTGGCAGGGGCAGGAGATTTTTCCCTACTCCACAGTGTCCAGAACATCTGTGGGGTTCACCCAGTCTCCTATACAGTGGGTGTCAGGGGTAAAGCAGCAAGGGCATTTAGCTGCCTGGTCACCTCCATCTGGTGTACAGGTCAAGAATGGTGGAGCTATACCTTCACTTCCCATATGTGTTCAAGGTGTGCTAAATCAAATAAGTGCAGGGACAGCTTTATCTTATTTTGTGACAAATTTTCATTGAGAAAGGATCCAATATCAAAAGGTATAAGCAGTACACTTTAGTGCAATGTGAAAAGTGGGCTGTGTTGTAAATTGTGATTACAATGTAGTAATTGGTTGAGTAGGGAAAACTCTGGTTCTCAACTCAGTTCTCAAAATTTTTCCAAATTCTGATTTCAGACTCATCTAAAAGCGAAATAGTGATTCTTGCAGGTGCCTAAGACACATTTCATGTTGAATACGGATGCTAAGTTTGTCTTGCAGCACGGAAGTTGTTAGAACCCATAATGTCTGATTTAAGGGAACAGCAGGTACTTTCTGTCACTGTACATTTCATCAGTAACAGAGTAGTAACTTCCTTTGAAATCCAGAACTGCAATTTTCTACCTCATTTCTGTTACACACAAAAAATATGTTATCAACAAAAACAGAAAGTATAGTGAATTTTCTGATTGGTATGGAAGGAAGCCATCAGACTGATTATGTCATTAATTGAGAAGAATACATTTTCCATTTGTGTGTTTGGTGTGTGCCAGCCTTGTTGTTCGTTAACCCTGTCATGTTCAGTTCCGTTTTTTTTTTAAATACAAAATACCATCCATAATGTTCAACAGACAGTTTTGTGAAACTGTTTATTAAATTGCTTGAGTTAATGTGCTTTTGTGCTTTATCATCGTGGTTTCAAATTTATTTGTGGGCTGTTTTACAGCACTGTTGGTAACTAAATTATATAGTAGTGTGCGATGGTAGGTGGAATTGGAAAGTGTTCATAGCCTAATAAAGGTATTGTTCTCACATTTGCCTGGAGATAGTGAGGGAAACCATGACGAACCTGAGTGAGGATACCTAGTGTCTTGGTTGATACATACTGAGCATCCTGCAAATACACGTCTGGAGGATGTTATTGGACCAACCTTTTTAGTGTTTTAAGCTTGAACTATACTTATACTTCTGGAGNGAAATTTCTGATTGGTATGGAAGGAAGCCATCAGACTGATTATGTCATTAATTGAGAAGAATACATTTTCCATTTGTGTGTTTGGTGTGTGCCAGCCTTGTTGTTCGTTAACCCTGTCATGTTCAGTTCCGTTTTTTTTTTAAATACAAAATACCATCCATAATGTTCAACAGACAGTTTTGTGAAACTGTTTATTAAATTGCTTGAGTTAATGTGCTTTTGTGCTTTATCATCGTGGTTTCAAATTTATTTGTGGGCTGTTTTACAGCACTGTTGGTAACTAAATTATATAGTAGTGTGCGATGGTAGGTGGAATTGGAAAGTGTTCATAGCCTAATAAAGGTATTGTTCTCACATTTGCCTGGAGATAGTGAGGGAAACCATGACGAACCTGAGTGAGGATACCTAGTGTCTTGGTTGATACATACTGAGCATCCTGCAAATACACGTCTGGAGGATGTTATTGGACCAACCTTTTTAGTGTTTTAAGCTTGAACTATACTTATACTTCTGGAGGATTAGAATTATTTGGATTTGAGTTGACATATATTTTGTAGTCAAATGGAAAACATTTCATGAGTATTTAGCAATTATAAGCCTACTTTTATTGTAATTTAATGAATAGTATGTTCTAAAAGGCTCTGATGATGATGTATAACACTCAGAATTACTGAGTTTTTGGACTTTGACCATCGTCCGTTATTGTAGAAACTAGAAAACACAACATTTCAGAATCTGGATCTGTTTCTTTCATCAGGCGAGGGGTGGGGGGTGAGAAGACATTTACTTAGTTGGGTCCCTTAGGAAGAGCTAACCTCAAATGGTCGAGTGATTGAGGTTAGCTCTTTCTAAGGGACCCAACTGAAACCCCCACCTGAGGACATAGATCCAGTTTCTGAAAAGTTAGGTTTTCTAGTTTCAGGAATACTGGACGATGGACAAAGCCCAAAAACCCATTAATTCTAATGAATAATGTGTTTAGAAAAATGTTTGCAGAAACATTTTGAAGTTCCTATACTGTATGTGAGGTCCTTGTAGGTTAACACTGGACATATTTTCTGGAATTTTAGGATTCATTTTTCTCCGTGGAAAACCCTACCTAAAATTTAGGTGGATTTTATAGCATGTTCTGTCTATGCCTTGAAGGGAGTAGGTATTTTACTGGCTTCCCTTGTTGACCACAGCCAGTTAGAAGTATCTGTGGGACAATCTAGATCTAGAATAATTCACTTGCTTATTTTTTCCCCCATGTTTAATATCTGATACAACAGCTCCTGCCATACCATTATGCTTCCTATGTGTGTTTCATCTGTTGATATTTTCACCAGGCTAGACTACCTTTTGGTGAAGCCAGTTGTCATATTTATTCAAGTGGACTTATATCAAACATGCTGATTTCACTCCTTGCATTTTCTTACCTCTTAACCTTTATCATCCACGAATAGGTAATTTAATTCTCCCAGTATTGCAGCACTGGTGGCTGCAGTTTTACTTTGGGGTAATGATTTTTTACTGAAAAGAAACAAGACCTGGACCTGCATATGTGCCATGAAAGAAGAGCAATGCATGGAGAACAGATGTTAAAATATTTTCACCGTTACGGATGTAATAGATTCGTTTCGTTTCATGTAGAAGTGTCCAGTGCACTACAAATGGAAGTGTTCCACTAGACATATATGCAATGTTCCAACACTAATTGTAAGAACAGTGCTTCTGTAAACATGAAAGAAGTTCACTTAATGCTCTCCTGAATCTCAAAAGATCCTGTTACAGGTGCTTGTGAAGAGAGACATGACTTTATATGGCTATTTAGTTTCTAATACAACTGGTCAGCATATTTGCACCTGTTTTAAAACACAGAGAATGTAAATAGAGATTATGTTTACATGATTTAAAAAAATAGTCAACTTGTTGCTGTTGTCATTATTTGGCTATGTAACCAACTGACGAACTGCAGTGTAGGTAGTAACATGTACAGTGAAATGTAGTTTGTACAAATGAGGATTATTTTTTTTTTTTTTTTTTTTTTTTTTTTTTTTTTTTTTTTTTTTTTTTTTTTTTTTTTTTTTTTTTTTTTTTTTTTTTTTTTTTTTTTTTTAATTTTGCAAATTCGTTCAAATAAATAGTATGATATTGTATTTTCCATTAGCTATAGGCAGAGCAATATATATTGTATCTTCATATGTAGAGGTTGTTTGTGTTCAGATGGTGCAGTTCAAAAGTTGAGTGTGAGTTACACCTCTGATGAGGCTGTATTCATTTATAAAATTGTAAAAAAAATTATAAAAAACATGCCCTTTTAATCATAATTATAATTCTGAAATAAGTCTCTAGGTACTGCAGTCCTAGCAGGCAGGAATGGCTGGACAGATGTACCCTACATTCCTCTACAGAAATACATGCAACATTGCATTCCTGCTCAGGTAGCCTGGGAAGTATTAAGGTCAATACAACTATGCCAAAATGAAACTTAAGAACATGATTATATCTCTTTTGCAATTTCTGTAGTCAACCTACTCAGCTGTCATAATGCTAGGATACAAACTAAAATTTTCCAGTGCTATGGGCTAGCGAATATTTTACTACCAATTGTATTCTTGAGCGCTACAGCATCACATCAGAAAAAATGATTCGGTATGTGGTTATTAGGATAGCCAAGGAAGTATGAGGCTCCACCCTTAGTTGCTATGTTAGCAAAGTGGGACATCTTGTCACTTTACTTCTTTGAACTTCCTGTCTCCAACGAAGATAATGTTCAGAATTTAAACTGAAGTATTATTACTCCATGGTGTTATGCCCGCTTACAAAAGAGCCATCTTATTGAACCAAGTCCAATACTTGAATATCGCCATTTTGTTTCCGCCCCCATCGTGTGATTGGACGTCGTATACTCCAGATTTTGAAAATATTAAAAGTGCATTATACCTCTCATGATTCTGTTACCTGGATACAGAATGTCCATTTTGTTGCCAATTTCTGTAAACCTTTTGCTCGAAAATAGCCGAATTTTTGTCAGGGTACTAGGATGGTCGAGGAGATATCAGGCGCCCTTTAGTACAGTTGTAGGTAAAGTGAACCATCTTGCCAGCTAAGTTTTTTACCGACTCGCATCGCCATTTTGTTACCACCCCATCACACGATTGGACGACCAATACTAGAAGATTGCCATTTTGTTTCCGCCCCCATCGTGTGATTGGACGTCGTATACGCCAGATTTTGAAAATATTAAAAGTGCATTATACCTCTTTCATGATGGTTACCTGGATAAAGAATGTCCATTTTGTTGCCAATTTCTGTAAATCTTTTGCTCGAAAATAGCCGAATTTGTATCCGGGTACTAGGATGGTCGAGGAGGTATCAGGCGCACTTTAGTACAATAGTAGGTAAAGTGAACCATCTTGCCAGCTAAGTTTTTTACCGACTCGCATCGCCATTTTGTTACCACCCCATCACACGATTGGACGACCAATACTAGAAGATTGCCATTTTGTTTCCGCCCCCATCGTGTGATTGGACGTCGTATACGCCAGATTTTGAAAATATTAAAAGTGCATTATACCTCTTTCATGATGGTTACCTGGATAAAGAATGTCCATTTTGTTGCCAATTTCTGTAAATCTTTTGCTCGAAAATAGCCGAATTTGTATCCGGGTACTAGGATGGTCGAGGAGGTATCAGGCGCACTTTAGTACAATAGTAGGTAAAGTGAACCATCTTGCCAGCTAAGTTTTTTACCGACTCGCATCGCCATTTTGTTACCACCCCATCACACGATTGGACGACCAATACTAGAAGATTGCCATTTTGTTTCCGCCCCCATCGTGTGATTGGACGTCGTATACGCCAGATTTTGAAAATATTAAAAGTGCATTATACCTCTTTCATGATGGTTACCTGGATAAAGAATGTCCATTTTGTTGCCAATTTCTGTAAATCTTTTGCTCGAAAATAGCCGAATTTGTATCCGGGTACTAGGATGGTCGAGGAGGTATCAGGCGCACTTTAGTACAATAGTAGGTAAAGTGAACCATCTTGCCAGCTAAGTTTTTTACCGACTCGCATCGCCATTTTGTTACCACCCCATCACACGATTGGACGACCAATACTAGAAGATTGCCATTTTGTTTCCGCCCCCATCGTGTGATTGGACGTCGTATACGCCAGATTTTGAAAATATTAAAAGTGCATTATACCTCTTTCATGATGGTTACCTGGATAAAGAATGTCCATTTTGTTGCCAATTTCTGTAAATCTTTTGCTCGAAAATAGCCGAATTTGTATCCGGGTACTAGGATGGTCGAGGAGGTATCAGGCGCACTTTAGTACAATAGTAGGTAAAGTGAACCATCTTGCCAGCTAAGTTTTTTACCGACTCGCATCGCCATTTTGTTACCACCCCATCACACGATTGGACGACCAATACTAGAAGATTGCCATTTTGTTTCCGCCCCCATCGTGTGATTGGACGTCGTATACGCCAGATTTTGAAAATATTAAAAGTGCATTATACCTCTTTCATGATGGTTACCTGGATAAAGAATGTCCATTTTGTTGCCAATTTCTGTAAATCTTTTGCTCGAAAATAGCCGAATTTGTATCCGGGTACTAGGATGGTCGAGGAGGTATCAGGCGCACTTTAGTACAATAGTAGGTAAAGTGAACCATCTTGCCAGCTAAGTTTTTTACCGACTCGCATCGCCATTTTGTTACCACCCCATCACACGATTGGACGACCAATACTAGAAGATTGCCATTTTGTTTCCGCCCCCATCGTGTGATTGGACGTCGTATACGCCAGATTTTGAAAATATTAAAAGTGCATTATACCTCTTTCATGATGGTTACCTGGATAAAGAATGTCCATTTTGTTGCCAATTTCTGTAAATCTTTTGCTCGAAAATAGCCGAATTTGTATCCGGGTACTAGGATGGTCGAGGAGGTATCAGGCGCACTTTAGTACAATAGTAGGTAAAGTGAACCATCTTGCCAGCTAAGTTTTTTACCGACTCGCATCGCCATTTTGTTACCACCCCATCACACGATTGGACGACCAATACTAGAAGATTGCCATTTTGTTTCCGCCCCCATCGTGTGATTGGACGTCGTATACGCCAGATTTTGAAAATATTAAAAGTGCATTATACCTCTTTCATGATGGTTACCTGGATAAAGAATGTCCATTTTGTTGCCAATTTCTGTAAATCTTTTGCTCGAAAATAGCCGAATTTGTATCCGGGTACTAGGATGGTCGAGGAGGTATCAGGCGCACTTTAGTACAATAGTAGGTAAAGTGAACCATCTTGCCAGCTAAGTTTTTTACCGACTCGCATCGCCATTTTGTTACCACCCCATCACACGATTGGACGACCAATACTAGAAGATTGCCATTTTGTTTCCGCCCCCATCGTGTGATTGGACGTCGTATACTCCAGATTTTGAAAATGTTATAAGTGCATTATACCTCTTTCATGATGGTTACCTGGATAAAGAATGTCCATTTTGTTGCCAATTTCTGTAAACCTTTTGCTCGAAAATAGCCGAATTTGTATCCGGGTACTAGGATGGTCGAAGAGGTATCAGGCGCCCTTTAGTACAATAGAAGGTAAAGTCAACTATCTTGCAAGCTAAATTCATTACCAAGTTACATCGCCATATTTTTCCCACCCCCTGACGCGACTGGAAGTCCAATACTTGAATATCGCCATTTTGTTTCCACCTCCATCGCTCCATTGGACGTTGTAGCGTCCATATTTTAGATGCTACCTTTACATGGTAAGAGGGCTTCTGTATTTTCTATTTGAAGAGGCCATAATAAAGTGCAATCAGAAAGAAAAGTCCTAGATAAATGGTAACTTGGCTTGATGCTCCCCTGATGAGTGTGTTGGGCAGGCTCCTCCTTGTGAACTGGCATCAGTCTGAAAGAATGTGGTAAGTAGAGAGGAAAGTTGGAAATGTCAGCAGATCCTGAATGAAAGCAAAGACAATTTGGTTACAAGGTAAAGTGAACATGTCTAACTCCTAAACATAGACACGATCCCTTCTTCCATCTAACTGATTCAATTACTTGGAAGATCATAATTGGATTGGGAATTATTCCTTTACGATTCTTCACTAACTGACCTCTTGTTAGCTGTGAGAATCATAACGTTTTCAAATTCTGCTGATGGGTAAACAAACATCTCTTTCAAACTTCCACTTTGTCACAGCCATAATACTGGCATGCTGACACTTAAAATCACCATCTGAGATTTTCATGTAGTGTACATGCGTGGGGTTACATCTACAGTCCATAGTGATCCTCCACAGGCAGCATGCTGCACTGCTGCACAAATTATTCATGCAGGTGTAATTGTCCCTGAACTTGAGTACAACATGCACAGTTGTGAGCACTGCTGCTGAGATATTAAAAATATATGTCTCACATTTGGTTGAGAATTTTACTTGAACAGATAGCAATGCTCATGCAACAAATATATTTCATAAATTAAACCTTAAATCTAATTTAAAAATACACCAGTTTTTGAATGTGTAACTGTTTTCTTATATCAAAAGACAAAATGCAAACTCTAGATTTATGGTTACAAGAAATATATTCAGAATTTATCTTCAGTAGAGAAAAATAAAACCATGTAAAATGCATACTAGTTTATAAGACTAACAGTACATCAACACAATCTTTGAATATCATGATTGTAAATGAAACCTACTACAATTCTGCAGCATCTAAAAGGTATGAATAATTAGTCAGTCAGTCTGCTCTCATTTCATTTTCTTGCCTTTTATATAAGTCATTATATATAACCTGTAATTACCTGTAGGTTTTCAATCAGTGCCTTTTCTCTCAGTAAGATTCATACATTTGATAGAATTCTAACAGCTCATCAGATAATATGCAGAAACACCTAAAACATCACTTTGGAATGTGAACTACCTACCTGACAATTGGCACACACAGATATCAGTCTGTTTACTTAGAATTCACTTTAATTAACCAAATACAAACTACTCTCTCAAATGAGTAAATGTTTTCTGCAAACAAGCTGTCTCTGAATCTAGATACAATGATAAATGTATAGAAGAGGCAGTACATACAAAATTCCTTGGCTTACAAATTTATAATCATTTATATTGGAAAACCCATATTGATCAGTTGGTTCCAAAACCAATTGCAACATGGTATGCAGTTAGATCTATGACACATATCAGCAACACTCACACTCTCAGATTAATTTATTTTGCGTCCTATAACTATTTAATGAAATATGGAATAATTTTCTGGGGTGATCCATCTGACAGCAAAAAGGTATTTACACTGCAATAGAAAAATGATGAGTTTCAAATCCCATAATTCTTGCACAGGTCTATTTAAGAGACTGGAGATCTTAACACTTCCATATGAATATATATTTTCATAAATAAAGTTCTTTATAAACAACAAAGAACATTTTCCAATGTAGATGTACACTGTTACACAAGACACATGTACTATCTCCATAAATCAACAGCTTTCAGAAAAGCACATATTATGCTGGGATAGAAATTTCCAATCATCGACTTGATCTCAAGTTTTCATGAATGAAAAAGCATGACTCAATATAACACTAAAACAATACTTAATACACATTTATTCTTACCTGTTGATGAATACTTATTATCTAAAATGTGACTCATCCATTTAAAGGCTGTGTAAACAGCATACATCCATATATATATATGGATGTATTTTTGAATAGCCTTATGTGTAACCACTGTATTTTCTTGGGTTTTCTGCAGTGCAGTGACTGTTTCAAAATGTGAACAACTGCCTAAAGTTGGCCAAGTAAGGCTGAAACATGTAGCAATGTGTTTTTAATGTTATTTCAAATTAAAGAGACTGTGAACAGTATTAAGTTATGCTAGAGGAGGTAAATTGGAGAGCAGATGCATCAATGCAATAGGATGTTCAAACATATTATTCATCACTGTAGTTTTACTATCAGTCTCTGTCTGCATACTTCTAATGAATGAAATTTCCAATGGACCCATTCAATGATAATCACTGATATTTAGTACATTTCTGTTTATGTACACACAGATGATTCATTCAACAAAGTAGTACAAGAATAAACCTGACATTAATACCTATTATATACAGTATCTGTGTTTAATTAAAATATGAAACAATAACTTTGACCTGGGATCATAGCAGCGACTATATATGTTTTTCAGAAATGATTTTAAACACTGTTCATGACAAAATTCTTTTAAACTTTCATCAGGAGGTTGTGCCCAGAGTTCATGAGGAATTGGCACTTCTCTTCACTCTCCACTGGCCTCAGCGTCATGTTCAGCTTCTTTATCACTATCATTCTTCTGAGGCACCCACAGTCCTGAGTCAACGCAACGTTTCATGTGGTATCTGGCATCCTCTTCAGGCATACTAGCAATTGTCTGTTGTAGCAATGGTATATCTTGAGCATCAAAACATTTCTTCAGTTCCTGCAGAAATAAAACTTGTATATCAATACACTGGAAACAGGAAATATTTTTCTCACAGATTTAATCTCACTAAGAATGTCTTAAAACTTTAGCTTTAGTTAACATTATTTCAGAGCAATGTACCGCCTAAGAGTTGATCTGAAACTTTTCTGTCCCTGCTTGTCTCACCAAGCTACATTTCATCCTCAAACTCTTATCATTAATGTAATTAAAGCAGAACTCCCCACCCAGTTTCTGCTGCAGGGAAACAGAATCATACCACAAAACTGTATAAATTCTCATGAGGAGGAACACTCGCAGCTAAGAAGGGAACACACATCACAAGACACGGTTTACACAGAATAAGAAAAACGACCCCATAGTGGAAGAACCACACACAAGTTTTAATTATGACACATAAGATGAATAATCTTAACAAGTTGTAGTGTGTGTAAATTCATTATAGTTGACAAATACGCACTTTTTAAATAATTTTATAAAGGCAAGCAATGAAACAGATTAGCGTAATTGGGGCACCTGATGATGGCATTATGTTGCCGAAACATGTCGTGAAGTGACAGGTGAAATTGAGTGCACTACAAGATGGCAACTGTATACATATCATGGATGAGGAGGAACTTTAAGAGAACTTAGCTACAATCATAGAAACATGTAACTACATGGGGAACTACTTCTTAAATTGTATAATCTTATTCTGGGACCATCTTCAAATGCTAAGAAACAGAAGAAAAATTAATTTCTTATGCACTGCATTTTCTGATTCTCTGGATGATCCTGTTATTTCAAAGCTGCTTACATTTGCCGTTGCAGAAGAAAAATTGTTTTGCATTGCATTTCAGACTGCTGGTACACTTCACATGATTCATTATTACAAAAACAATCCTCCAGCAAGGGTTCTGACCAACACAAGCACACCATTCCACAATGTCACTGGTACATATACCCAACTACTATTCATTTTCTCACTCTGCTTAATTCATGGGCGGGTCATGCAGTAGCGTAGTTGGTTGAGGCACTAGGCTACAAGCCAGAAGGTTGCTGGTTCAAGTCCCGATGAGGTCAAAGGATTTTTTCAATTGACCTAATTCTTCCAGCTGCACTATGGCCCCGGGGTCGACTCAGCCTCTAACAGAAATGAGTACCAGGAATATTCTTAGGGGTTAAGGGCAGGCGGCACATAGTGCTGACAACCTTGCTGCCACCCATGAGCCAAGTGTCTAGAAAATGTGGGAACCTCAAAATCTCACAACCCTATGGGTCTCCACAGCCTATTACAGGGATACCTTTACTTTACTTACTTTCATGGACAGTTCATGTTTCATCTGTGGCAACCAGTGTGTGAATGAAAGAAAAAAAAAACATTGCCAGTGAAAGGTGAGAACTGTAAATACTGTCAGTGGAAGTCAAGAATCAGTGTGTGTGGAAAGGAAGAAAGGAAGGCAGGTAAACCTTTAACAAATAACACATCACTTGTCAGAAGTTAACCCGTTCCCGTGGTTCGACATGTATGTTTCGTCAGGGATTTAAATCGTCTGGGGGGGTTCGACGTGTATGTTTCGCCCAGCTGCACACCTATGTTATAACGCCCATAATAATTGATGGTTTTGCTGTAGATTGTTAGATTTTTCGCTGGCCTGTTGTCAGTAGAACAGAGTATAAATAAGACACGACTTCATCTGCGCCAAGTCATCGTTACATATACCTGTCTTGCAGCAAAGTTCCTGTTGCTTCTGGTAGAGGTTCCTCGTTCAAGCTGTTATGAAAGGCGTGTTGTCTTTGCTTTGAAGATATAAACAACAGAGACGTGATGTTTATAATGTAATATTGCCCTGAGCTGGCCACACAAACACACTCAATTGGAATTCTTAGAAGAGGGGTGTCCAGTAATTTATTCTCGCATGATCCATTGATTTCGCACAGTATATAGCACCCAGTTCTTAGAAAAACGTCACGAATTAA